TACACCATTAAAAAGGATTACAAGAGTCGCGGTTCATGTAAATACAACTACATACTCCACACAACAGAAAACAAAATCGAACTCTTTAGAACTGAAACAAGAGTAGTTGAACACACGCGAAATTTTTCATAGTTCAAATTTATGGGAGAAAAGGTGGAGAGAGAGAAAGAGAGTTTCTCATACACCATATATGTAGGTGGGAGGTTTATGTGTTACTAACAAAAACAATCACCTTTAACTGTGATTCATGCCAAACCACTTTCTCCTTATATGCAAATGTATTAATGTATGTGTATACAAATGTATTTGTGTGTATGTGAATTTGTGTATAAGTCATGTTAAAATCTCCGTCTAGTTGGCTGATGGTGGCAAAAATGCTGTTTTGATTAATTATAGCTTCCTCTAAACACGGAACCGCTTTGTTACTCCAAGTCCGGTGCAACAATAACATCAGCCGAGCCAGTGGCAGCTACAACAATGATGACGACAATCGAAATAATAGCATTCTAAAGATTCAGTGAAAATTTAAATGTTCTTAGCATGCAACTTGTTGTGTATGGGGAGAGAGAGAGAACGTGTGGAGTAGAACGAACAACCTCAAGGAACATGCACTCGGACAATAACAATTTATTGCCATCACTTCCATTTTTCCTTAAAACAAAAAAATAAAGTTAACTCCGAAAACAAAATAAGCAACGAAGAAAAATGAAAAACAAAATATGTGGCTACTCCCATCTTAACTTGTTTTGCCTTCCTCCTTAAGGCCTTAAATAAGAAATTAAAGAATAAGAATGGGTTTAGAGTAACAGCAGGATAGTAACAATATTTCTTATAAATATTCATCGTGATTCTTTTAAATCTAATTAACGTTGTTTGGTATGATGTAATTTCGCCCAACATAATTTTTTGACATTTTGTGATAATTGCGTTTGGATTTTTTTCTCCTTTGGACTAGTGCCATGTTAAATTACAAGATTACAACCTAATAATTATTTCCGCAACGTTGTTGTAGAAAAATTAAATTAACACAAAGGCAAAATTAGTTGCTTTAGGAAAAAATCGTTAATCGTTATAACAAAAAATGAAAGTAATAAAAGTACAAGAGATAAAGGAACAATGAACATAAAAATTCCTTAGAAAAAATCACTTTTCAAAACTCCTGCCTTGTAAAATCATACTTCTTAAAATTCCTAAATCCACGTTTGTTTGGTTTCGGGAAAAAGTGTTAAATCTACAATCGACTTTGCAAAATATCCGTAAACAATCGACATTTCCTTTATACTACAAAAATATTCCTTACTAAATAAACAATTTTTGTGGGTCTTTGAAAAAAATATTTTTAAAAACTGCGTTTATTTCCATCTTAGTAAAATATCCTTTAAAATATTTACTCTCCTTTTGCTGCTTAGTAAATATTTTTTAAAAATCTACGTTTAATTTAGTATTTAAAATTGTAAGCTTTTTTGCCAGGGAAACATTTACACTTTTTTGGCCCATGTAAAAAATATCATTTACCAATTTACGCTTACTTTGGTCCTTGATTTTTTTTTAATCTACGCTTCTTAAAAATATCCTACAAAAAATCTACTCTTATTTTGAACCTTGATCCGTGAAACAATATCCTTAAAAAATCTACTCTTACATTGAACTTTGATCCTTGAAACAATATCCTTAAAAATCTAGTCTTATTTTGTACCTTTGAACCTTGATCCTTGAAACAATATCCTTAAAAATCGACTCTTATTTTGAACCTTTGAACCTTGATCCTTGAAACAATATCTTAAAAAAATCTACTCTTACATTGAACCTTGATCCTTGAAACAATATCCTTAAAAAATCTACTCTTATTTTGAACCTTGGTCCTTGAAAAAATATCCTTTAAAAATGTACGCCTATTTTAATTCATGAAAAAATATCAAAAAATTTACACTTATTTTGGTACCATGTCAAAATTTTTCTTTTTAAAAATGTACCCTTATTTTGGTCCCAAAAATGTCAAAAAATGTACGCTTATTTTGGTCCTGTCAAAAAATGTCCTTTAAAAAAGGCTTATTTTGGTCCATGAAAAAATATCCTTTAAAATTAACGCTTATTTTTTGGTTATTAAAAAATTTCTTGTCAAAAAATTTACGCCTATTTTAGTCCATGTCAAAAAATGTGCTTTAAAAATGTACGCCTATTTTGGTCCACGTTTAAAAATGTACGCCTATTTTGGTCCATGTTAAAAAATCTACGCCTATTTTGGTCCATGTCAAAAAATGTCCTTTAAAAAATCTACGCTTATTTTGGTCCATGTCAAAAAATGATACCCTAGTAAAAACACAAAAAATTAGGTTTTCGGTCCACCTCATCCCACTATTATTATCTGATCATCACCGAAAATTATAGGCGTTATCCTTGACCATTGACGGTATTTCCGACTCTAGTGTGGAAATGTGTTACTAAATAATATCTGAGTACGTAAGCACCTGTAAATATTTAAATGTAACTCCCACCTCCGAGTACATACGACAATATAATTATTATCAATTTAAAGGTCAACCACTCCTCTTGGATATACTATCAACTTCTCGGCTCTATGTCCGTCAGGGGTATAGAACACAAATTCTGTCATTTTTCACACTAAAGGGTCTATTTGACACGCTAAATATTGACCGATCTTTATCAAAGAAGGCATGCTTATTCTTTGATCCCCTTCTCCATGAAGAAATTCGCGGTGTTTGGGCCATAATTGCGGCCTCTGGAGAGACAGGAAAATCAGACAAAAATAAAGTTTTTGGTCCACTTCACCCCCTAAATATTAACAGATCTTTACCAAAAAACAATTTCGTGAAGATTGGTTCATAACTGTGGCCTGTATCGTGTTTACAAATTATAATGAAAAGACGGACACACTTGTCTAGATCGACTCAGCTAATCAAGATATGACGATCGGTATACTTAAAAGTGGGTCTAGGATCAATATTTCGCAGCGTTACAAACTCTTGGGGCTGCACAAAGCTATAATACTCTATGTAGGGTATACTCTATGTAGAGTATAAAAACTAATTAAACCACTTGGGCCATTAAAAAATATCTTTAAAATCCGCTTTTATTTTAGTCTTTGCAAAATGACCTTTAAAATATCAACTCCTCTTTTGCTGCTTTAAGAATATCCTTTAAAAAATCTACATTTAATTGGTATTTAAAATTCTACGCTTATTTATCTGTTCAATAATCTGGTCCTTGAAAAAATCTACGATTATTTTGCTTCTTGAAAAAATATCCTTTAAGAAAGCTACGCCTATTAAGGTCCTTGAAAAAAATTCAGTTTAAAAATCTACGCTTTTTAACCCTTTAAAAAAATCTACATTTGTTTTTGGTTCTCGAAAAAAATCTTCAAGGACCAAATTTAAAAAAAAACTACTCTTGTTTTGGTCCTTTAAAGATATTATTAAAAATTCTACGCCAACTTCGGTCCTGAGAACTAATCAACCTCCCATTTTTTTCCTGAAAAAATGTTCATTGAAAACTCTAAGCTTATTTTGATCCTTGAAAAAATATAATTTTGGTCCTTGAAAAATAATCCTTTTAAAAATCCGGTCTAAATTATTATTAACAAATATAGGATCATCCTTGAAAAAATATTATTTAAAACATACGCAGGTATTTTGACTCTTTACACAGTCTACGCATCTTTCGGCCAGTAAAAAAAAGACTTTAAAGGCATATAGGGGTCTTTTGGTTCTTGAAAAAATATTTTTTTAAATCGGAGCTAATTTTTGTCCTTGAAAAATATTCTCTAAAAATCTACGTTTGAAAGATTATCTTAAAAAAAATGTATGTCCATGAAAAAATATTTCTTCGTTCAATTTCTACGATTATTTTGTTTCTTTAAAAAAAATAGTTTAATAAAAAATTTAATTTTCGCCTTCGAAAAAGGGTATACCTTGACAAAAAAAAAAAATCCAGTTTTAAAAAAATTATATTTCTTTAGATAATGGAATTAACTCGTTTTTTTCTTTCCCATACAGAGATGAATGCTCTTTTGATTTATGATTGCTATTTTTGTACAAAAAAAAGTGGGAAAATCACGCCCCTTTTGGGTGGATACTGCACCATGATGATGAATAATAATACTCGGTTAACGTATAACCCTTTTATATTTGCGTTATGAATTTTTAATATAGTCCACCAAGAAAAAAAACCTTTCAAAAATAAAAAAATCATTAACACCCATGACTAGTATAACCCTTTTGATCCCTGGCCTAAGATCGGCACGTGTAACTTGGCACTCCTTGGCTTACATATGCTTTTTTGGTCATGAATAAAGATTTTTTTTGTTCTCTGGCATACGCACATAAAAACACCCCTTCAACAAAGGTCTGTATTTATTTATTATTTTTTTTCACAGAAGAAAAAAACACCTTTTCTCTCACACCACCACCCTTTTGTCACTTTGTGAGTGTGTATTGTTGTAACACAGACAATCAAGGTGAGACTTAAGGGATAATTTTAATTTGATTTGGTAATAGTAATTATAATAATAAATTTGTTGCATTTAAATTAACTACACGCAAGGAAGGAGGGGGGAGGGAAGGTGTTATTTTTCCATTCATTTATTACAAAGTTTGAAAATGGAAAACACACACAAAAACATTTACATGAATGATCCTTCGCCCTAAAAAGGCATAAAACTCACAAAAAAAAAAATATATATTCCAAAAAATTGCATGTAAAATGCAGATCACCTTAATATGCTAATAAATTCACAACAATATAAATACAATACAATAAGTCATTGAAAATACCAAAAAAAATTTACGTTGGAACACGTGCTAACATGGGGGTTTCATACTTAGGGTTGTACCTAATCTTAGCACCTGTATCTTTATGGCTATTTGGAATAGATCAAAATGTTGACTTCTAGTGCTGGTTAAAAGGGGGGTAATTTAAGGTCATTAAGAATAACATATACAAGGTTAAAGAAAAATATACGTGTGTATGAGTAAAATACTTACCAGAGCTTGCTAAACGGCTGCTGGTCGCTCCAAACATTTGATATGGATCTGAAATGAAAGAGATAAGGGAATAAATTTAATTAAAATTTTGAAGGACTTAAATTGAATGTCAATTCAAGAGAAACATTTTCAAGGAATTTATACCCTACACAACTATGTTGTCAGGGTGTTATAGCTTTGTGCAGCCCCAAAAGTTTGTATCGCCGTGAAATATTGGTCCTAGACCCACCTTTAAGTATACCGATCGTCATATCTCGACTAGCTGAGTCGATCTAGACATGTGTGTCCCTCCGTTTGTCCATTATAATTTGTAAACACGATACAGGCCACAATTATGGACCAATCTTCACGGAATTTTGCATGTAGGATGGGTTCTGGCCAATGAAGACCCCTATTGTTTTTGGAAAATATCGATTCATATTTAAGGGATGAAATGGACCAAAAACTTTATTTTTGTCGGTTTTTCTGGTCGCTCCAGAGGCCGCAATTAAGGCCCAAACACCGCAAATTTTTGCATAGAGAAGGGATCGGGCCAAAAAAATAAGCATGCGTGTTTTGATAAAGATTGGTCAATGTTTAGCGGGTCAAATGCATGGAGAAGGGGACCGGGCCAAAAAATAAGTATGCATGTATTAGCGGGTCAAATGGACCCTGACTTTTGTGTGAAAAATGACAAAATTTGTATTCTGTGGTATATATGTTTAGCCCTGAAAGACATAAGCCCGAGAAGCCCGAGAATATTTTCCAATCTCAGGATATAGGACCACAGGAAGTTAGATTTTCGTGGATGTTGTGTAGGGTATCTTATGGTCGGCCCCGTCCGTCTATATTGCTCCGTTCACTGGTTAATTATATTTTTAAGGATTGCAAGAGTCGAGGATTTCTTTAAAAAATATTTTCAAGGACTAAAACAGGCGTAGATTTAAAAAATATTTTCAAGGGCTAAAACAGGCATGGATTTTTAAAAATATATATTGTTTCAAGGACTAAAATAGGCGTGGATTTTAAAAACTTATTTTTTTAAGGACTAAAATAGGCGTGGATTTTTAAAACATATTTTTTCAAGGACTAAAATAGGCGAGGATTTTCAAAACATATTTTTCTCAAGGACTAAAATAGGCGTGGATTTTCAAAACATATTTTTTTCAAGGACTAAAATAGGCGTGGATTTTCAAAACATATTTTTTTCAAGGACTAAAATAGGCGTGGATTTTCAAAACATTTTTTTTCAAGGACTAAAATAGGCGTGGATTTTAAAAACATATTTTGTTCAAGGACTAAAATAGGCGTGGATTTTAAAAACTTATTTTTTCAAGGACTAAAATAGGCGTGGATTTTATTTTTTTAAACTAAAATAGGCGTATTTTTTTCAAGGACTAAAATTTTTTTAGGCGTGGATTTTACTAAAATAGGCGTGGATTTTCAAAACTTATTTTTTTCAAGGATTTTAAAAACCTTAAAATAAAAGAGGCGTGGATTTTATAAACTTATTTTTTCAAGGACTAAAATAGGCGTAAATATTTAAATCTTTTTTTTCAAGGACTAAAATAGGCGTGGATTTTATAAACTTATTTTTTCTTTTTGGTAAAGTGCTTTCTGATTTTGGCAAAGTGACGATTTTTTAAAAGATATTTATTCTTTTTGGAACAGTGAAATTTTTTTAAATATTTTTTAGATTTTGGCAGATCTTGGAGAAAAATATTTGTTTATGCAGCACTATTACAACACAAGCTTTTATTACAAATATAATGCACTTCAATACAACTTATATGCATGTAAAAATATTGTTGAAGAGCTTTCACTAAAACCCCCTCCATTGTTAAAACATCCGCCTCCGTTTCCGAAACTTAAGTTTCAAATGAAGTGTGTGTGTGTGTGATGGTGTGTTTACCTCAAAAATAAATATTCCGCTCTCATTTAGAAATAAATTTCAATTTTGTAACAAATGTCCATCTGGTAAAGAAATACTTGACAAAAGTGTAGGTGTGTATAAATGCATTATGAAGAGGGGCTTGAAGGAACTTGGCCATAAGTGCCAAGTGGAAGCGAAGAACCTTTGAAAACAAGAAAATAAAATACAACGTTCGACAAAAGTATGGAATGTTTTTGAAGTGGGCACGCGTTTCAAAAAACTGAAAACTTGAACAAATACCAAACTCATAATGCCAAATGATGATTTGTGTTAATGTTTCATTGTTGTTGGATTTGCATGTATTTTTGTTTGTTGTTTCAAAGGACGAGTAGAATGGGAAATGGGTAGAAGCAGCTTTATTTTGAAGTGGAAAGTGGATACAACTAAATACCAAATATTTTATTTTTTTTTATGTACAAAAACAATTTTTGCACATTTTGTTAAGAGTCCTTGATGGCGTGGCACTTACAGACACACACAGAATGAGAGATCGAAAGACTCACTTGTGTTTATGTGTGCTCATTCGTATATCCTTTATATCGTTACGATTATTGTGTTTGTTGTATTTAATGTTACGTTAGTTTCATTTCTGGTACCTTGAGAGGCATGTTCAAGTGTCCATTAAGCAATAATGAACAGCCACAACAACAAAAACAAGAACAGCTACATATCAGCCAGCTAAACAGTCATTCAGCCAGCCAACAAACAGCCAAAGAGTTATAACATTTTTATTGTACTTTATTAAGAACTTGGATATGTGTGTCCATGGACATATTTGTTTGTGGAATGAAAATAAAGAATAACGATGAAAATATGAAACAAAAATAAATTTATATTGGGGTGGATCGACGATAAATATTTTTTATAGCTTTGTGCAGCCCCAAGAGTTTGTAACGCCGCGAAATATTGGTCCTAGACCCACCTTTAAGTATACCGTCATCGTCTTGACTAGCTGAGTCGATCTAGACATGTGTGTCCGTCCGTCAGTCTGTCCATTATAATTTGTAAACACAAAGCCACAGGCCACAGTTATGAACAATCTTCAGGAAATTTTGCATGTAGGATGAGTTCTGGTCAATGACCCCTATTGTTTTTGGTGTCCGTCCGTCCATTATAAGTAGTAAACTCGATACAGGGCACAGTTATGAACCAATCTTCACAAAATTTTCCATGTAAGATGGGTTCTGGCCATTGAAGACCCCCAATGTTTTTTGTAAAGGTCGGTTAATATTTAGAGGGTAAAATGGACCAAAAACTTTATTTTTGTCTGATTTTCTGGTCGCTTCAGAGGCCGCAATGTTGACCCAAACATTGCGAATTTTTACATGGAGAAGGGGATCGGGCAAAAGAATGAGCATTCCTGTTTGATAAAGATCGGTCAATATTTAGCGGGTCAAATGGACCCGGACTTCTGTGTGAAAAATGACAACATTTGTATTCTATGGCGAATATATTTAATCCTGAAGGACATAGACCCGAGAAGTTGATAGTATATCCAAGAGGAGTGGTTGACCTTTAAATTGATACCAATTGTATTGTCGTATGCACTCGGGTGTGGGAGTTATTAGTGGACCGAGGAGGATTAAGTGGACCGAAAACTTATTTTTTTTTTTTTTTTTTTTTGAGTCACAATTGAAATCCGAACATCACAACACAACCCACGATGAAGGGAATCTGGACAACTAGTTAGAAGAGCTGTACTGAATATTAGTAATATTTGTTGACCTCTATTCGGCCAAGAGGGTGCAAATATCGCATACATATTGAGAAGTTGATAGTATATCCGAGAGGAGTGGTTGACCTTTAAATTGATACCAATGATATTGTCTTATGCACTCGGATGTGGGAGTTACACTTAAATATTTACAGGTGCTTACGTGTAACCCATTACTACAGTAGAGGGCGAATATATAGCGCTGATCGCTATATATTCGCCCTGAGGATCCAGCTATGGCCAAGGACAACGCCTATAATTTTCAGTGATGATCAGATAATAATATTGGGATTAAGTGGACCGAAAACTTAATTTTTTTGTTTTGTTTTGTTTTTTTTTTTTTTTGAGTCACAATTGAAATCCGAACATCACAACACAACCCACGATGAAGGGAATCTGGACAACTAGTTAGAAGAGCTGTACTGAATATTAGTAATATTTGTTGACCTCTAGTCGGTCAAGAGGGTGCAAATATCGCGACATATTGTACAGGCATGAATATAAACCCGCAAAAACTTAGATTTCCGTGATAGTTGTGTAAGGTATCACATGGTCGGCCCCTTCCGACTATATTGCTACGCTCACTGGTTTTAAACTACGTTTCTGGGTGTGCTTGAAATATCTCCGCTTCATGTGTCGTTAAAAAATGACTTTTAAAAAATCTTCGTTTTCTGTGTTTTTTAAAAAAAATATTTTTTAAATATTTTTAACACTTCTTGTGTCCTTGAACAATTGTTTTTTTTTTTAATCTACGCTTCTTGTAGAACTTCAAAAACATTTTCTATAAACTCCACGGTTCTGGAAGACCTTGAAACATATTTTGTAAAAACTGTGTTTTTGTAGGCCTTAAGAAAGATTTTCTTTGAAAAATCTATTCTTTTAAATTTTTTTCTTTTACAAAACCCACTCCTCGTCTTGGTCCTTTGAAAAATATTTTTGTTTATAAATTACACCCTAATATCCATTATGACCACAACACAGTATATATTTGCATGTTGGCTTTGGCAAACAAAAATAAATTGTGGCACCGGCTCTGAAGTGATGAAGTACCATGTTGCAACAATACATTTTAAGGCAAATAATTCCGGTATCCGGAGGATGAGATGAAGCTACAAAAAAAATTGCAAATGTATTTTAATATAAAAATAATGGGCCGCCGTTTTTTTTTCTTACATTTACGTTTCAAGTAGAAAAGGTCGAAAGGGGATATGAGCTACCGTCCGTCGTTGGCTTTTATAATCAAGTGATGAAGTTATTGTTTTCCACGAGAAGAGTTGGCAAACATTGACATATTAGAAACGAATTTATTTTATGTCGCGTGCGTATTTAAATCTCCGAAAAAACAACAGAAGTGAGTTATGAAAAAAAGCCACGCGTCTTAATGTGTTGTTTTTTGGCCTTTCATTCACGGTAATCATC